CAAAACAGCCGGGGGCCTGGGGGCTATATGCCATTGGCGGAGCTTCCGGAAGCTCCTGGAATTTTAAAGAGATAACTCTTAATTTCTACACTAACATATCAGACATTTTATTTAAAATAATATTGACACTGGTTATTCCATTATGAAAACTAGACTCAGTTGCAGCTGCCCTCTCAGTTGCAAGGAGTTTTCAACTGTTGCAACTTATCTGGGGGAACTTTACATGACTTGAAGGTCGCCCTCAAATGGTATTTAATTTCAGTCCACCGAAAGAGCGTTGACCGGAAAGCCGTCGTAAGTCCCAAGGAACGCTGGGTTTGAGCCTCAACACTAAACGGATCACACTTTTTTCAGCAGGGAAAGAATGGGACAGTGGAATAAGCTAGCTGAAGCTTAGGAAGGGAAGGTCAGAAATTGAAGCAGAGAGAGATGTAGAAGTAGTAGGGCAGACCTACTTGCTGCTTATTTAAACTTTATTTACAAAGTTATTTACAAATCAAAGGTTATGTACAGATTAGTTGAAAGGTGTACGTATTCAGAGATGCTGCTTTTCTTAGACGATTGTTGCGTAGTCCGGCATCGGCTCTCCGCTCTCGATGCAGGGCGATTCGTCTCCACCACGAGTGGTCGTTTCAAGAGGGATGTTGTTCTCTTCGAGTGATTGTGCCGTCAGTTCTCCGTCTATGGTTCCCAACTTGTCCCAGACTTTTCTTGCCAAGTTGTAGAGTCTGGTGATTATTGCCTCCACTTTGTATTTGTTGTGCAATTCTGCTATTGATAGCAGATTATCTTCCTCGTTCCTCCTTGTTGCTGCCCGAAGGACTCTGTTTTGGAATTGTTGCATCTTGGTTATGTTAGTTTTCGATGAGATGCACAGGGGAATGGTCGGGTACTGCATGATTGGTCTAATAAGGGTTTTGTAGAAGTGGACTTGTATCTTTGAACTCATTTTCGCAAAACGTTTGTTTCGTGTACTGGAACTTGGCCGTTGCAAGTCTTCGTTTTATATGTGATGATACTCCGCGTGTATCAAGGGGTGAGGCAGAGTTATGTATTTTTTCTTGGTATTTGCTTTGTTCATTGCATTTTCAATCGTTTCATACCAGCTATCGATTTTACTGTCTACATATTCTTTATTAGCTGTGAGCTCTTCTCCTGTAGGTTGCTCCATATGTTCTATTTCTCTTTTGAATTGTTCCCAGTCAGCCCTTTTGTAGTCAAACATTTTTGCTTGCGGGATCATGATGGGTGACGTCGCCAGGGTGAAGATAATAGGAATGTGATCCAATGTTGTTAGTGGACCTTCTTGTATGGCATAATTCATGTGTATATTTCTATTTCCCAAATATGATGTCAGGTCTTCCTTTCCCTCACGCACTTACGAAAGTGTCCAAGTCTGGTCCAAGGTGGTCATTGTGTTGCGGTGGATCAGGTTAATCAACTCGCTGCCCATTAGATTTATTACTTTGTCCGAGTGAGCGATGTCGGGCATTTAGGTCGGCTATTATGTAAGCCGGAATGTTCCTTCTCATGATTTTCATGATGTCCGGTATGGGAACTGGGTCGTCTAGGTGGCATGTACGCCGTCCCGAGAACAAAGCTTCCTCGGTGTATATAGTTCTACTGCGAGAAAATCTGAAAATCATCGTGACTCTGGTTTTATGTTTCTTTTCACAGCAAATAGCAAGTCCGGTGTCGCCTTCATTAAAAATGTTTCTTTGGTAAACATTATACCCTAATAGTTTAATAGTTTCATCATAGCTTAATAGTTTCGTCATTCCTATTTGGATTAGCAGGGTTTTTTTATCTTTTATTCTGATTCTTGGCATTGTGAATCAGTTGAAAGAGTTGTAATGGCAGTTCATGTTGCCTTATGTTGTTTGGCTGAGCTTCTCTCGCCAGAGAGGGCAGTGCTGCCTCGGTTGTTTGCGGGCAGTTTGGCAATTAGCCTTCCGTGTAAGCTCGCCGTTTCTGTACAACTCTATCTTTAAGCCAACTTATTTAGGATGGCTATTTAATTCTATTTCCTAGCTATGCCGGCACTGAACAGGTGTCATGAGCCGGGACGGTGACGGCGACCTTACCCCTAGGAAGGAGTTTTTAGACCACAAGGGCTACCTCCTAAAATGCAAGGCGGGTCATAGCGTACAGGAGCACCAGTAGGAACGTGTTACCGGTCCGGGTACCCTGAGCTTTTCTGAACGGATCACACTATTTATTTGATGAGTAGGGGGGGGGGCGGAAGATGGGTCCCACCCCACTCCGCTCTAGACTGCCATTTTCCTATTTCTATGTATATGAGTGTGTACATGTGAGTGTATATATGTATGAATACACACACATAGATGTATGTGTGGTTATATATACATATATACATACATACATAATATATATATATATATATATATATATATATATATATATATATATGTGTGTGTGTGTGTGTGTGTGTGTGTGTTGTGTGTGTGTGTGTGTGTGTGTGTGTGTATATATATATATA